AAATTGATCTATTACATGCACAGTTTCTAGCGTTAATGGTTGGTATAGCTAGGGCGTGAACAAATATGCAAACAATGGGAAATTCTATCAGTCAAACCGTCGTAAACACCCACAAACGTTAGCAGCACTGCAGTGTCTTTATGCTGCCACTTTCCATGCGTTCTACATCTCAAATAACACACTCACAATAGACATGTTAATGTTTCATATTACTTACACGTGCTTATTCCAAATACATGTGAAAAACACTTGTCGGATTTTATTTTTGAAAGCTGATGTAAGGTTCAGCTGTGTCCTCCGTACAAACTGATACAGCTAACAGCTAATCTGACTGAGTATTTACACAGTGCAATAGCGATTGCTTGAATTGCTTGATGATGTGAAGCCAATCTGTGAATCCCAGGACATTATGTTATCTGACCAATCAGAGCCTCTTGAGGGTCATTTTCCTGCTAGCTGAGTAGCAGTATGTAATCAAAGTAAGTTTCATGAATAAATAACAAGGTTTTCTACAAATGAAGCATGAGCACACATTGCTTTGCATCTCATGAACACAGCCAAGCTTCAAAAATACACTCTGGACCACCCCTTTAAGAATAAAATAGTACAGTTGAAAAATACTGTAACATTATTTTTGCTAAATTGTTTCCCTTTTCTTTTGATTTACTGGATTTATTAGGTATGGAGTGGAGTAAAATATTAATATATGTTTTATTCTGATAACATTTCCAAGTTTCAAATAAAATTGTAATTTAGAGCATATACTGTTTGAAAACAATATACATATTGTGCAGCCCTAGTCACAATCATAATTTGACACATATAAAGCAATTTCAGCAAAAAAAAATTAAATAAATAAAAAAAAAATAAATAAATAAATATATATATATATATATATATATATATATATATATATATATATATATATATATATATATATATATATATATCCAGAAAACCAAGTCTCTCCAAGTCAATTGTACTTTTCCAAAGGTGTAAATGAATGTGAGTATGTAAAGAGCAGCGGTTTGTGTGATTAAGAACCAGGGAAGTGTGTTTCTGGAAGAATTGAGAGAAGATACCAATGCAGTAGTCTTAAGGTGGTTTTCCAGACAAATAGGAGATCAGGGCAGCGATGGCACAGATGTAAGTGATGATGCCGAACACGATTGAAAGGATGGAGAGCCACAGAGCCTGCCGAGAAGCTGCACTGGCACCCTGGAAATCTCCTTGTGCTGACGCTTTGTTTGTCTGAAGCGGAGAAGAGAGAATGTAAACAGTATTAATCATAGTGAATGATGGACATTCCTCTGCTCTCTCTCATATGACTACGGGAATTACAATAGCTTTCACAAAGGATTGTTCGAAAGCACGCATATTTTACACGTTGTAAAAAAATTTATACAGTATGATCAAAAAGCAATGACAAAATTTTTATGATACTCTAATTAATTTCAATAAGCTAATTAGGTTTCACAAAATTTCAATACAATTTAAAACTATGCAGACTGTCTTTAGCTAAAAGCAAAAAAAAAAAAAAAGTTTAAGTTTAGGGCAAATTTTCATTTTTGGGTGAACTATTATTTCAACAGTGCATTATTACACTATCCTTTCTTTTAGTTGTTTCCCTTCTCTTTTTACCTTTGATCTCCTCATTCGAGACAACACCTCCTGTTTCATTGGAAATCAATCACCGGAGGTCTCTCATTATGACACTAATTAAAGTCTGAATGAACCCCATTGATCAGAGTCTCTTTAGCTGCGTGGGCTGAACATTTGCTTTGCCACATCCATTGAAAAAAAGTCCTTTAAACTGTATACAAGTTCCATAATGTATGGAAAAAGCAACACCCTGTGGAAATAGGAAGGCAATCAGATTAGAGATTTGAAGTTGTTCAAACATTACATCCGGTGGTCAGTAAATGGTTTGTGGGTCTGTCTGAGGATGAGACAAAAGCTGTAATGCAAATGGCTTTGACTTGTATTATTCTTTTGTTTGGAACTTTGATTCACTGGTGGCATAATCCTGTAAATCTCAGTGTAATCCTGTCTAAACCTTCAGGTATGATTCCGTAATGTTCACATTCACTCCTAAAAGAGCTCTAGACTTGAGATTAGCAGCTAATCTCTGTCACTTTCGGTCCATCTGCCCTTTAGACTCTGTCTGTCTGTCTGTCTGTCTGTCTGTCTGTCTGTCTGTCTGTCTGTCACAAACAGAGGTGGACACATTCCACAATTTAGGTACTTGAGGTAAAGCACACATAACCTTATAAAATATTACTCCAGTAGAAGGATAAAGTCTTCATTTTCAATATTAAAGAGCACTTATGATGAAAATCTGTTTAGACAGAACTGTTTGCAGGTATTGTGTGTCGTATCGGGGTGATATAAAGACAAAACGTCTCTTTTTTTAAATTTCCTGACGTTAAAATAGGATCCAAATCCCTCCCATTTTGAGGCCCACCACAGCGTGATGTAGGACTGTGGTCCACCCAACAATATCTGACTCGGGCACACTCTGACAGGCACATGGGAAAAGTGGGCGAGGAGTACTAACATTAAAGGCACAGGCAACAACAGCTACATTGTGTTAAGAGCAGAAAATCTCAATAATCTGAAAGGTATAATAAATAATCTGATGGGTGTTTTAAGATAAAATTTACAGCCACATTCTGGAGACACGAAATACTAAATCCTTAATCTTGAAAAAGGGGTAAAATAAGTGCACTTTAAGTCAAAGTACGAAAGTACAAAAGTCAAAGTCATACTGATGACTAGGCCCACATGAAATCTACGCATGCAGAAATCCGCAGAGTTTTTACTACTTGTTTACTGGTGTAAATGTATTTGACTTAATATTTATTCAGTTTTTTAATTAATTTCAGTAATTTTACTGTGATATATAAATAGTAATATTAAAATGTTCTTATGATTTGTTTACAGTACAGTTTGTACAGTTTTGTATCTGTCTTTTAGTAGTTGCTTTGCTTACTAATTTACCTGGTCTAATTTGAATTGCATTGTAAACATTAAATAAAAGTTAAAAATGTATTATTTTTATTTCATAAATTAGGTTTTTAGTTATGATATTCCTAAAAAATATTCAGCAAAAATGTGCAGATTTAAAAAAAAAAAATGTTCTGAATTTGCAAAAAATGACCACAGATTCTGTCTGGCCCTACTGATGACTGATCATTCCTGAAAACATGTGAAATCACATTCACATGCTGAACTGAACCCCATGTGGCTCAGTTTGTAGTCAGTGAATCATTTAATAGAGACTCACTCCGATCAGATCATTTGAATCAGCGAGCAATTTGATGAATACTCACACTGAACAAATCACTTGAATCAATGAGTTGTCAGTTCAGTTCACAAATATATTGATGCTAATGCTCATCGGTTTCCCAATGAAGTGTTGAAGATTGCTTTCATTATTTCCCTTCTTACAGAACGAGCTGTACAGTGGGCGGATGCTCTATGGAATACCACCAGTCCAATGATGGCCACCCACTGTTCAGTCCAATTTGTGAGCCGACTAATTCATCTCTGATCAGATGACAATTTCTCCCTCCAGAATAACCTTTAAATGAGCTTCAAATAAGCAGGAAATAATGAAGTAAAAGGCATAATGTTTTGTTTTGGATTGTAGTGGAGTAAAAGTAAAAGTTTCCCATAATAAAAGACTCTTATGAAGTACAAACATATGTTCTTAAGTACAGTAGTAAAGTCAAAATTCATGAATACTGTCCACCACTGGTCACAGGTAATGTAAACTGATGAAGAGAACCCATCAATCTATCACATTAATTTTAATTTGATTTGGGGTCATTAATACAGTCATTCTGTATATTTCAAAGTTCTTAAGGAGTGTATTGTCAGAGAATAGAGCTCACTACTGCAGTCCTTTATATAATAGACTTATAAGCTTATGATTAGTGTCTACTCAATAAGTCAACATTTTGGTCTGTTTTCTCCCATTGATTATTTGCACGTTTCATAAAATTCCACTGAGCACATAACATTAGAATTCTTCAAATTTATATAATTGTACAAGGTTATTTTCACACCCTCGGCTCGTTCCTGCAGCTCCAATCACCACTCTCCCTCACCATTCACCACTCACCACAACCATGAACAATCACCTGATTATTGATCACTCGCACCTGCACCTGCAATCATCCATGCACTATATAAACTCACCTTCTTTATTTACTCACCGGTTGGAATCAAAATTAAATGATTCTCCTCATCGGCTTTCCCTCTTCCTCATTTTACTCTTCCATGGATGTCCTTCTTTACCTGTTAATGCAAACACACCTGCTTAAGGGAAGCGACATAAGTTTGGTTGGTGTAATAAAAGATCTGAAACTTACCATTTGAACTGTGTGTGAGATCACTCTCCCTCTGTTACACCACTTACCTGCTTCATCTCTCAGGATTTGTTGCATTGCGTAAATAAATACCCTTAAAGATATAATCATCTTTGTCTTTGTTGTGTGACCGAGACAGTATTCCAGCCCAAAGAAAAGTCTAAAGTGGCTAATGAAGACTAGCACTGCTCTGACTGAAAGCTCTCTGGATCTGTTTGCTGAAATGGTGCATCCCATGTGGCAAACCTTACCTACCACTCCCCTGAGCGCTAATGCCAACCCCGTTGTCATCACAAGCACGCTGCTCGCTCACCCCGTTTTCTCCAACAATGCTCTCTCTAAATTGAGGCTAATGCTCATCAGTTTCCCAATGAAGTGTTGAGGGTTGCTTTCATGATTTCCCTTCTTTCAGGACGAGCTCTACAGTGGGCGGATGCTCTATGGCAGTGGTCACCAAACTTGTTCCTGGAGGGCCGGTGTTCTGCAGATTTTAGCTCCAACCCTAATCAAACACACCTGAACAAGCTAATCAAGGTCTTACTAGGTATACTTAAAACATCCAGGCAGGTGTGTTGAGGCAAGTTGGAGTTAAACCCTGCAGGGACACCGGCCCTCCAGGACTGAGATTGGTGACCCCTGCTCTATGGAATACCAGCACTCCAGTGATGGCCACCTACCTGTCCTTTACCAACAACTTTAAAGAGGTCCCACTCACCCCTCTCTCTGTGCATGATGAATTGATCACTCTACACAAAGGTAACACCACAATTCACCCTGCACTTCTGAGCACTTGCTGCTAGCAGTGGCTGAAATCAAGTGGCTCCCCTCGCTGCTTACCATAAAGGTCTAAGATCATTCCAGCATCAACTGGAGCACAGGAGAGATCCTGGGTTGGAGTGCATCATGCACCAATCATGGTTACACTGCTCCTCCTGTTGTTCACACTCCACACCTGGATTCCCTCTCCATTCACGCCACCACCGTAGAAAATCCTTACCACTCCTCCGTAGTCTCCATTCCGGCCATCTACACTCCCTATCTCGACATCTTCAGCAAGGAACGAGCCACACTGTTACCCCCACATCGGTCCTGGGAATAAAGCAACGACCAGCTGCCAGACGGCAAACTACGGCATGGAAGGATCCACCCTCTTTCCCGTCCTAAGCATGAGGCGATAAAGAATTATATCGACGAGTCTCTTTGTCAGGGGTTCACAAGACCATCCACTTCTCCATCTGCTTCAAGCGTTTTTTTTTTTTTTTTTTGTGGCAAAGAAGGATGGAGGACTAAGGCCCTTGACCTCTGAAGTGCATACAACCTGATCCATATCCGAGAAGGAGACTAATGGAAAACGAATGAAGCAAAATCTTCTGAGACTTCCTCCATTGTTTCACCATTGTATAGATGACATCTTTATCTATTTCCGTAACATGATAGAACACCAGTCTTATGCACAGAAGTTCCTCCACCGTCTCTGTGAGAACCACCTTTTTCTGAAAGCAGAGAAAAGGGTAAATGTGAATTCCACAAAATCTCGGATACATGATCACCACTTAGGGGATCAGTATGGAAGCTGGCAAAGTGGACGATGGGATGATGGGACGAACCAAAAACCTTGAAAGAACTGCAAAGGTTTCTGGGGTTTGCCAACATTTACTGATGCTTTAAAAAGAACTACAGCCTCCAACTCCCTTAACCTCCCTCCTTAAAGGCGGTCATTGCACACTTTCCTGGAACCCTGATGCGCACCAAGCCTTTGAACAACTTTAGCTCAAGTTCACTACCGCTCCCATCCTCCAACATCCAGATCCCACTCTGCTCTTCGTTATGGAGGTAGACGCAGCTGATGCCAGAGTTGGCGACGTCCTGGATGTCCATGGACACCCTGGATCCGACACTCCATAAGGAATTTCACCACCGACACCCAGAACACCCAGCTTCCCGAGGGCGTGGTCCTCCTCGCCAGTGATCTAGGGTGCCTGGAGTCACCTGTGGAGGGGGTGTGGTACTGTCATACCCTCGGCTCATTCCTGCAGCACCAATCACCGCTCTCCCTCACCATCAACCACTCACTAAACCCGTGAACAATCACCTGATTACTGATCACCGCACCTGCACCTGCACCTGCACCTGCAATCACCCATGCACTATATAAACTCACCTCCTTCATTCACTTACCGGCTGGAATCAAAGTCAGATGGTTCTCATCATCGGCTCTCCCTCTTCCTCTTTGTACTCTTCCGTGGATGTCCTTCTCCTGTGGATGTAAACATACCTGCTTAAAGAAAGTGACTAAAGCTTTGTTGGTGTAATACTGAGGATCTGATATTTACCATTTGAACTGTGTGTGAGATCACTCTCCCTCTGCTACACAGCTTACCTGCTTCAACTCTCAGCATTTGTTGCATTGCACAAATAAATACCCTTAAAGATATAATTATCTTTGTCTTCCTTGTGTTACTGTAACAGTTTTGAGTATAAGAATAATAATAATAGCACTGTCGACCAAGAGTCTATTTTAAGGAACAATTTGTAAGATTTTTGTCATTAAAATATTCTAAAACCACTTAAAGAGTCTTTATATTTCGGTCACTCATGAACCTACTATTCACATCATAGGCTCTTGATTTCCAGTTTTATTTTCAGCAGCACAGCACAGGGAAGCATTTTAACAGAACTTAAAATGTATTTAGCATAATAAAACAGCACTGCTTCTTCCCCACTTGATCACAACCAGTAAGTTGCCGACCATACTATAATAAAAGCTCAGCTGCTTTCATGCCAAATTACGATTGTCATCAGTAATTGCTTCACTGCTCTCATTACACCGCTACGGCTTTTAGTCTTAAGGTCTTTGCACACTGAAGTCCGAAACTCTAGTATGATTTTTTTTTGTTTGCACTTGTATGCCATTCATAGTCATCTCGTAAAAAATCCTAGCACACTGAGTCTGATGCATATTAATTTTTCCATTATAAAAAAACGAGAAACATTTCAGAGTCAGTTAGCAGTAGTACTCTGTTCTCTCTTCTCCAAAGTAAAAGAAGAAAAAGGAATAGGCTACATGTTGTGTTCATCCAATACTGCATTGAGGAAGGAAAGTTCAGCTCATTATCAAAGAGCTGTGCTATAATTATACCGAAATGCAAAGTTTATTTCAGGAAATCAGCAAATTTTTTATTCATCCTTGTGATACTTCACACATTCACGTACGTAAACAAATCTTGAACAGAGACTGGCAGTACCTATAGACATTGCAATATATGGTGGACGTTGACGTGTTGAAGCAATGGACCACATGCAGATCATGCTTTCTATATCAGAACACTTTCTATTTCAGTATGCCAAATACATTGAGACACACCAAGCAGAGAGGTGCTCCAGTCACTGAATCCAGCATATAGGGGTTCTCAACTGTCCACCACATTCTGAATTTATTTTATACACTGTGAAATGTATCTGTTGCTCAAATGATGGCATTTTGTATTTAGCTTTTCACTTGTTCGATTTTTTTTTTCGACGGACAAAAGTTTCAGAGGGAGTGTGTTAATATGATTGACACAACGTTAGGTCAAATACATGAGTTTTGAATACTTTGGCTCATCCATGAACATGAATTTTGCACAGGTCCTACAGGATGTAATGAAGACAACAACTCCCACAACTCAATGACGGCATCATCAAACTACAATTTTGTGTGTTGTAAATATGCACCCTCTAATGAGAAAAGTTACATTCTGTGCCCTTAAAGTTTTTGAGTGCCTCCTACTTCTGTATTGATAATATGTGAACAAAGCTTTTTTAACTATATATTTTCCTAAACATTGGCCCTTTACTGTAAAAGCTATATTTCATAATTGATGTTGATTTTAAGTTGATTTCCATATTCATTTGTGTTAAATAATGTGTTCTGGCAATGTTATATTTACATATATGTTTTAGTTCAGTTTTTCCACTGCTCATGTCTAGTACGCTGTCTCACGTAAGAAGTTAATGTGTTGCACACATTTGGGAGAACACAATATTTTGGATTATACTTATAACCTAAGTGGGTTGTGACAAGATTGACAGATGTACAGCATACACTCAATGCATCACTTAGTGGGTTTCCACACAGGCTTCTGCATCTTGTTTATATACACTATGAACAGCAGCTACGCTAATTATTCTCTCTATCCTCTATTTCCACCTGGGGATACTCATCCCGAGGTCCTTAGATTATGCGGAGTCACTGATTGGATCCAAGACCAGCGACGAGATGATCCCAAGGTTTCCATATCCAGGACCAGGCCGTATCCTGAGCTGCTGCTGCACTGATGGTCATGGGGAGTGGAGAACATGAGTCTGATTCCAGTGACGCTCCAGGGACAGACGAGTCTTCGCTGAGGCCAGCTTCCAGCCTTCACCGCGGTGACTGAAGCTCTGCACAAGACTTTTGGCCAGCGGAGAAATTAAAATGGTCGTGCCCAACTGAGTCTGGTTCTCTCAAGGTTTTTTCTTCACTCTCCTATCAGGTGAAGTTTTTTTTTTCCCTATCCGCTGTCACCACTGGCTCGCATGGTTCAGGATTGGTAGAGCTATGCATCGATGAATTTGCTCTTCAGTGTCTGAACTCAGTAATGATTTTAAATCACACTGAACTGAGCTAAACTGAACTGAACTTAAACACTAAAAAACTAAACTACACTGTTCCAGTTACTATGACCATTAATGTGAAGCGGCTTTGACACAATCCACATTGTAAAAGCGCTTTACAAATAAAGCTGAATTGAATTATATAGATGTGTGAAACATCTGATATAAAATAAACACAAAAATCAAAAGAACTTCATGAACTCTTGTGTTTTGGGTAAGCAAGTTCAACATGCCAGATATACATCAAAACTTGTAGACTAATCATAGGAAGGCTACATGTACCATACTCTTACCTTTTGGGAAAGATAGAACGCAGCAATGCCCAGAGGCCAGAAACAACAGAGCATGGAGAAGAAAGCCAGACCCAGGTAATCTTGAGGGATCATGATGGGAAAGTTGCTCTCACTGTCTGTATCACTGAAGTCATCACTGGAGGAGTCCTGTGGGTAAATATCAAATCCATCAGCACTGCAGAGTAAAAGTCTTGAGAGGTTGCTTGTTGCATAATAAAAATGAAAGTAAGAAATAGGACTAAATCACACACTTCCCAGTTGTTTGATTAAGAATGGGATGTTTTGTTTTGGTTAAATATGCAAATGAGACATTATTTCATTAAATGATTACTTCGCCCTGATGTTGTTCAACCCCCTGAGACCTCCATTCTTCTCCAAAATACAAATAAAAAGATATTAGCACTCTGGCTCTCCATATACATGTCTCGAGATGTTTAAAGTCCAAAATAGAAAACTTCGATGTGACTTCAGAGGTCATATTGAGAGGCCAATGTCATACTGCTCATAGTAAACTTGCACCCTTTCACTCAGGTCAGGGTGCAAGTTTACTACGGGCAATATGATGCTTGTGTGTTGTGCTGATGACCTGACTTTTTTTGTCATGTCAATGTCAATGTCAATTTTATTTATATAGGACTATTAAACACAACCAAAGGTTGACCAGTGTGCTGCACAATATAAATAACAGGGAGAAATATATAAAATTAGAGCTAAAACAAACAATTCTCACTGATAAAATGCCAAATCCAAAAATATACGTTGTTAACCTAGATTTAAAAACAAACAGAGATGATATGCAGTTGAAGTCAGAATTATTAGCCCCTCTTTGAATTGTTTTCTCTTTTTTAAATATTTCCCAAATGATGTTTAACAGAGCAAAGAATTTTTTCACAGTATGTCTGATAATATTTTTTCTTCTGGAGAAAGCCTTATTTGTTTTATTTCGGCTAAAAAAAAGCAGTTTTTAATTTTTTAAACACCATTTTAAGGACAAAATTTAGGCCCCTTTAGGTATTTTTTTCCGATAGTCTACAGAACAAACCATCATTACACAATAACTTGCCTAATAACCCTAACCTGCCTAGTTAACCTAATTAACCTAGTTAAGCCTTTAAATGTCACTTTAAGCTGTATAGAGGTGTCTTGAAAAATATCCAGTAAAAAATATTTACTGTCATCATGGCAAAATGATGAGTGATTAAAACTATTATGTTTAGAAATGTGTTAAAAAAAATCTTCTCTCTGTTAAACAGAAAACGGAAAAAAAATAAACGGGGGCTAATAATTCAGGGAGGCTAATAATTCTGACTTCAACTATAGATCTAATACAGAGGGACAGAGTCCACAGTAGGACCAGCTACTGCAAAAGCACAGTCATTTCTGCATTTCAGCCTCAACTTAGGGATAATTGTACAATAATCATAATAATCTCTGGTTTGATGACCAAAGAGACCATCCAGGGGTACGTTTCACTAACAATGACATAAATTGTGACTGAACTTTCATAGTACAATGCATCTTTTGGGAAAAGAACAATGTAATGATGAGTGTTTCCCAAAACCCTTAGTTTCTCTGTCACAGATCCATTGTTTGAACCAAGTTACATAAAATGCCCGTAATGACGTTCTAAACAGAGTGTTAACCAACTCTTTAGAGAAGAACCTCATAATTTCTTTGTGCAAATTAATCTTAAAAAAATCAATGTTAGTTTTAGCAAAAACATGCACTTGTTTTCCATATTAATTAAAATATATGTAAATGGCACATATAGGACCTATGTTTCGTTTACAAATATTATTGAGAATATTACATATTCTATTCTAAAAAAAATAATAAAAAAATAAAAAAATTAAAATGTATAATTTATTAGGAAATAAAAAATGTATACTTGAATAATTTTCTTCTTCTTCTTCTTCTTCTTCTTCTTCTTCTTCTTCTTCTTCTTCTTATTATTATTATTATTATTATTATTATTATTATTTTTATTATTAGTAGTAGTAGTAGTAGTATTAGTATTATTATTATTAAATAGGATATTGCTTATTTATTTTTTATTTGTTTGAAAAGTCTATTTCTACAATTTGACATTTGCAAACCACTGATGTTTTTGGTACCAGTTAAAAGCCTTGCAGGAGTAACTAAATGTTAATGGAATAGATTTGTCTAATTAATCCCATAATATAACACGTAACAATATTTCAATCTAGAAGTAATAAAAGCATGAATTGTTTTTTACACATTTTTTTCTAGATAGAATGGGTTTGACTGATTTTAAGAGTCGAAGCTGAAAAAAAAAAAGGATTTGACCAATGCATTTATCTGTTTACCAAATCTCAAGCCGTCATCAAAGACACCCAGAATTTTTACCCAAGGATTCACAGAAATGCTTCATTTACCAAGATTTACTGTTGGTGTCCTTTAAGAACTGAACAATTATTTCAATTTTAATCTGACAAGCAGACATCTCCTACCCGCTTAAACTCAGAACAAATTTGAGTGTCATCTGCATAACAGTGGAAAGACAGACCATGTTTTCTAAAAATAGAACCCAGTGGAAGCATATATAAAGAATAAAATGTTTACATAAACAATGTTTAGATTATTTTTTGGACTTTGAACGACATGCTGGGAAGTGATTAATAAAAGTATTTTCTTTTCTGGGTAAACTAATGTTTACTAAATGTACTAGTTTGTATACATTTTAAGCACAAACAAATCAGAACATATAGACATGTTACTATTATTATATTACTATTATTTTGATATCTTAATTTTATTCATTCATTTTCCTTTGGCTCTGTCCTTTTATACATCAGGGGTCGTCACAGCGGCATGAACCACCAACTTATCCAGCATATGTTTTACACAGCAGATGCACACACTATGGCCAATTTAATTTATTCAGTTCACCTATAGTCATGTCTTTGGACTGGGGGGAAAACCGGAGCACCCAGAGGAAACCCACGCCAACACAGGGAGGACATGCAAACTCCACAAATGCTGGCTGGACCAGCTGAGTCTCGAACCAGCAACATTCCTGCTGTGAGGCGACAGTCCTAACCACTGAGCCACCATGTCACCCATTTTGATATATTAATTTATTTCAGTTTATTTTTGTAGAATAAAATGTTTAAAATCAGACAAATTATGCATAGATTTTTGTCTCTCTGTAAAAAGCTTAAGAATATGGATATGAGTAAAAGTAATTTGGTGTAAATTATGTAAATGATGGACATTTGGAGATTTATGACTCAAAACTCATTTGCAAAAATCTGTTTCAAAAAATGTGTACTGTATTGTAGTTGGCGGTTCATTCCACTGTGGCGACTGTTAAAAAAATCAGGGAATTAGTCAAAGGGAAATAAATAAAGTAAATATAATGTGTTGTTAAATTGTTAGACAAAAAAATAATGTGTGACCAAGGTGCATCATGTAGTTTCTTAGATTGCATTAAGACGACATGGGGGATCAGTGGTTAGAACAGTCACCTTACAGCAAGAAGTGGCTAGTTCGAGTCCAGGCTGGGCCAGTTGGTATTTCTGTATGGAGTTTGCATGTTCTCTCCATGTAGGCGTGGGTGTCCTCCGGATGCTCAGTTTTCAAAGAAGTTTATAGGTTATATGGGCTTAATTGGCCATACTGTACGAGTGTGAATGAGTGTGTGTGGGTGTTCCCAGTGCTGGGTTGCAGCTTGAAGGGCATCCGCTGCGTAAAACCTATGCTGGATAAGCTGGCTGTTCATTCTGCTCTGCTCTGATGAATAAAGGGACTAAACCGAAGGAAAATGAACGACCAAAATGGCTAAAATCTTCAAATTGACAAGTACATGAACGAAAAAACGTTTTTTTTTTTAAACGTATTTATGTTATATCCTTCGAATGCAGTGACTTGCAGTTATTTCTGCTGCGCTGTATAAATGTATCAGTTGCAGCTTTTTCTGGTTCCTATAAGATAATGTGACTGAATGAGGTTATGCCAAATGTGCACTAGTTGTGCTGCCTACGGGCAATCCTGACTCATGTTGCTGCAGAAAAGAGCTGTGTTTTCAATCTGCCTCTTTCTCTAAAACTGTGTTTGACATCTCTACTCGTTTCACTCTCTCTGCAGCCATCGTGTTTATGTCCTCCAGATTTTGTACTTCTTAAGACATCTTTTCCACACTCTCATGGACTGAACAACAATGTGAATTATTCAACCACTGTATTGTTGTTTTGGTCACCGACAAGCTTTCCATTGCGCTCAGATGTTGATATTTCTGATTCTCTTTTTCCTAAATAACCCCGCCAAGCTTTTCATTTACTAAAAGCATGATGCAACTGCACAAGCTACCTTTTTTAACATGAAGCAGTGTAGCATGACAAAAGGCTATATTGCTGTATTTTTCATCAGATTTTCTTGCATCACAACTTTACAGCAGAGCGAACAGAGCAAATACTCAAAAAACATTCTGTTCCTTTTTCTACTATATATATGTAGTTGATGCCTTTCACAAAATTGTGAAACTTCAGCTTCAGAATTAAATGTACACTGTAAAACATTGTGCCCATCAGTCTCATTAGGTGAGGTTAATATTAAATTAAACAAATTCTCAAATGACTATGAATTATAGCCTTTGATTGTTAGACTTTTTTGCGTTTGCAATATGCTCGTGTTTATATAGGAATTGTTGTGTGTGCAAGATTTCTATATTTAAAACCATCTCTGGGGAATGTAGGGGTCACAAGTCACTGGCAATGTCATTTTGGGGGTAGTGGGCTGAAAAGTTTTGTAACCCCTGACTTACAACCCCTTGATTACACCCAATACTGATTTTGTGTTTATAAGTAATCAGATTACAAGCACTTTACTTCTAACTTGACTACTCACAGCCTCAAAGTATCTTTAACTGCGGTCAGGCTGTAAGATGTACAGTATGGTCCGAAATGTACGCTGCAGATCTCATGGGACATTTTAAATTATATGTGTAAACCTCACAAGCATCTGAAAATGATATGAAAGCTTATAAATATTTAAAAGAGTAGCCTTGCATCCACACTACCATGTCCCACATCATTTTTAAGTGCCTTCTGGTATTTAAATAGAACAATGTTTTATTAATGCTGTGTCATAGTAGAGCAGGTCCTCATAAAACACTACTGGTCTTGCCG